AATCACTAATGGAGACTTAAGAAATTTTATAATTAAAATTTCCTGTTCACAGTTTCAGTATTTTCACTTAGGTAAATTGACTTTAAAAGGTTCCAATTATTATGCTTTAATGAATATTATGCAAATGACACACTTTTGAAAACTCTTACATTTTATTTCAAGAATTTTTACATTTATTCTCCCTTTATTGGGGCATATTTGAAAGGTACATATTAGCAATTGCAGAGGTATCTTGGTTGGTAAATTTCATGTTCAAAACAAAAATCTTATTTCAATTATGGTATACCAAGGTAAATATAGTTTATCTATTTAGTTATTAAGGTGTATCATAAGAAGTGATAGAAATTATAATTTGAATAAAATAGACACTTTTGGATTTTCTCATATTTCTATTCAGCATTTCAAGGAGCTTATGCAAATTTTTGAAATTACTTTTTTAAAACAGAACATTTTAATATGCTTAGCAAATGCTATGATTAGCTTTTGCAGTTTTACTAAATTACAGAAAAATTTAAATGGGCAATAGTTTTGCATAAAAATATTGTCAGACCTCTTAAGGCAACATATGTTGTATTTTAAGACAAGATTCATTCAATTTTATGGACTTTGGAAGTCAGATATGATATATTCTGCGAGATATAATAAAAAGATTAAATAATTTTACTTCAAACCTGTACTAGCCTGCGAAAGTAGGCAAGGCTCATTGTATCAAGCAAACTATTAGATTAAAATGTCTTCATGCCATGTACAATGGATTAGTATAAGTATTTATGACAATTCAGCTTAGTCTTTATTTTAACATAAATACTAAGGAGATTTTATTTTAATTATACTGTAAAGCAGGAAAACACTATTTTGTAGAGCTTTTCATTTCATATTTATTTGAAAAAGTCATGTAATAGTATTTAATTCATATACTGTTATATTTTAACATTGACAGTCTAACTACTAAATAGACCCTGAAGACTTTGGTACAGATTATTTTGGCTTTGACAGCCTATCAAATACAAGAACACCTTAAAAGTCAATAAACAGTTGCTAGAAGCGAAAAACAAGAAATGCTAATGTTTGATTATCTGGCTTAGATCCACAGTGTTTTGAAAAAAAAAAGAAAAAAGTTCCTCCCTTACTAATAGCATAACTATGGTAATCACAGTTAGTCATCTGGTATTATTTTATAAAGAACTATCAAAAAGCTTGTAGAAAACCATTTTCTTATCAAACCTACCCATATGCATAAATGACGTTTATTCACAAATAATAATTTCTAGATGTCTATATATTCTTATTATTGGAAATCTATGTGAGAATTGAAGGGCAAAGCTATATGTATATAAATGGATATAAAAGTATCTACCTCCATCTTTCTCTATTTTGGTACCTGCCTTGAAAGTTCACAACCTCATTTGAAGAATGGCTCTGGGTACACTGTGAGTTCCTAATGATAAAGAACAGATGGGATTGATTGCTAACTCAGTGTGAAGCAGGAAGAAAACGCCTACAGATATTCAGACCTAGTAGGGATCAGCCATTCCAGCCACAGTGGCCCAGACCTATTGGGGTGAAAGATCCCAGCTGCTGAACACAAGGAAAAGTTCATGCAAAAAAAAGTGAAATCAGCTTAGCAATTACTTGATTACTGAAAGAAAAATATCACTTATGAAAGGAGTTCCTCTAAATGCACGGAGAAAGGAGAGAGACATTCTGGTCTCAATAGGCTTCAGTTAATAAGTTGTGAGATGTGTTTTACAGGCGCTGGGAGATAACCCACTGGTAATTATGCTCTGGGAGGCCTTTCTTACACAGAGTCAGCTCCTCATTTATTTTCAGACCCCTAAGTCTCCTAAGAAAAAATATGCCACTCAAGTTGCAAATCAGAATGAAATATCTATACAATTCACAGTGAGACAAATTATTTAAATACATAGGAATGTAGTAAATGAGCTGCTTGGAAATCTCATTCTGGGCTACTTATCATCTGAGGAATACAAAAGAACCACATTATAATTAGGAAATAATGAAGGACAGAAGATCTTAATTGTCATCAGAGGACAGACGAATGGACTGTTGATCCATTTCCGTGTTCATTTTTACAGTTCAGGTACTTAGAAATGCATGGTGAGTATAAGCCATTATTCAGTTAATGAGATGCTAAACTACAATTCTCATTGAAATTGTCCAGTGTTGCTTTTCATTAAAGAGATAATGACTCAAAAGATATTTTAGGTGTTGCTACAAGCTGCTGTTTTCATTCCACTTTTATTTGGCAAATTGGGTCACATTGTATTACAAGAAAATTATCTGTCCTCTAATATGCCCATGTTACTTGCTTTTCCAGCACAGAAATGATGAAACCTGATAGCCCCTTAGCACCTGGCTGCTATTTCACCGTAACACCTTGCTCAAGTAAGGCAGCCCGTCTTTATGCAATAACCTGGATTCTACTTTAAGGCACTTTTGTGTATATTCAACTGTGCTCTTAAAAGGCAAAACATCTGCAACAGTTCAACATGACGATAGCATAACAAAGTCAGGTGGGCAGAACTCATATTTCTCTTGGATCTGTTGTCTTTGCAAACTAGCTGAAGGTGAGCTCTTCACAGAACTCATTAGCTGGAGGCGAGGAGCAACTGGCTGGCAATATGTGTCTGATGACTCCAAATGCAGAGAGGAGACTCTCCTTGGACGCAAACATGCATACTGCAGGGCAGAGTTCTGTGCAGCCAGGCCCAGTACAGACCTCTCCACCTAGAATCCAGATCTCTCCACGTGCCTCCCAAGGCAAAGCAGGGAGACTGTCCTGGAGAAAAGACAGCTAATAAATGCTTTAGTACAGCATAATCCCCATTCCTAATGAGAATATGGTGAAATCAGTTATCTTTTGTTGAAAATGAAAACTGAACCACAAAATTAAGTTAAACAGTAAGCAGGCTGCTACACAAGTTTTTCTGTGCAGGGCCAGACAGGATGAACTATTCAATTCAACCCTCTGAGAGCAGCCACAGACAGCATCAAAAGGGAGGGAAAGGGCAAAAAAAGAAGGGAGTCGAGCTATGTATGTGTGCCAACTCCTCGGGGAATGTGACCATTAATACAGGCATTAGGAAAAAGTGAGAATTAAGAAATGAATGAATCTGGCTGGCTCATAATAAAACTTGTTTACAAAAACAAGACCCTGGCCCTCAGGCTGAAGTTTTATATCCTCTCTTCTAAAGTCATGTAAAAATTGAAATCTTCATCCACGAATGCTGTTGCTTGGTTGATACTTACAAAGTTAATTTTTGCGGGGAGGGCAGGTACTGGGGATTAAACTCAGGACCTTGTGCTTGCAAGGTAGGTGTGGCACCACTGAGCTAAATCCCGGGCCCTATAAAGTTAATTTTTTTAAAAAATATGTGCTATAATATTATCCATAATGAAGAAAAATACATGAAATTGCTATAATGCTCAACAAAGAAATAACCAAATACATTAACTAGAAGTAATATTAAACATCTGCCTTAACATGTGTGAAAAAATGCATAAAATATTCAAATATTTAATCTACAAACTTTATATACAAAAAGACAGACATAAAGAGGAATATACAACACCAAAATAATTTAGAAGTTCAGAGTAGAACTACGTTAACACTTTCAAGATTCATACACTTAAAGCAAAGGAAAATCACAGGGGAACATCCATACATTAAATCAGCAGTTGCTTGCTGAACAGTCCTTATGTGACAACTGCGGGGGCCATAGAAATAATTGGAAGGCCTTTCATTACAAAAACTGACCAGCAGTGAACTAAGATGAATGACACATCGTTCAGTGGCCCACGAGGGAGGAGATACACAGCAGTAGGAACACCGAAGAGAGCAGGAAGAGGTGACTTCTTAGTTCAGAGCTGCTCAAGCTGTTTGTTGGGGCATGGGGAAGGGTCAGGCCAGACAGAGCAGGTCATGGATAGCTTCATACAACACATGCCAAGACTTAGACTTTGGGGCTGGGAATTTAGCTCAGTGGAACTGCACCTGCCTCACAAGCACAGTCTTGAGTTTGATTCCTGGTACTCTACCCCCACACACACACACACAAAAAGAGTTTGTACTTCATCCAGAAGTATTTTTTAAATAGCTAATTATGAAGTATCTACTAAATAAAGTAAGGATAATAGATATAAAATGATTATAAAAAATATCCCCCAAAAAAACCATGGTATTTAAGAGAGATTAGAATCTTGCATCCTATCCTTATTAACTGTAAGTATGTTAACTTTTCTGTATCCTGTGCCTCATTTCTAAAATAAGCATAGTAATACATAACTTGATGTAGCACTATAAAAATTATGGAAAATAATCTTTATAAATCTTTATAACTAGACAAATCATGTTTTATAGTAGCAATCCTTGAATTTTTTGGAACAGGGACTGGCTTACGAAAGACAATTTTTCCATGGGTAGGGAGTGTGGGTGAGATAATTTGGGGATGATTAAGGCACATTGCATTTATTGTACATTTATTTCTATTATTATTACATTGTAGTAGATAATAGAATAATTATATAGCTCAACATAGGGCATAATTAGTGGGAGCCCTCAGGTTTTTTTCCTGATGCCAGACACTCCCATCTAGGGGTAATGAAAGACAGTGACCCTAGGCCAGGGATTTGGTTCAGTGGTTCCGCCACCTGCCTTGCAAGTGAAAGCACGAGTTCGATCCCCGGTACCGAAAAAACAAAAAAAAAAGAAAGAAACACAGTGACCCTGAAGTGTATTGCTTTCATCCAACCTGCTCCATAATCTCACACTCATGTCACATCAGAAAACACTGCTTCACAAAGACAAGATGTCAGAACTAGAAACAGGCTTTTGTGGCAATCTAAGATATTCTAGCTTGACCTTAATCAAGATTATGTAGAGATCTGAAGTGGTCGCAAACATATTTTAAAGTCATCATCATTTGCCATCTCAAGCTGTCGATCCTCTTCTAGCACAGACAAGGTCAACTCACCCGGCCTGTGCACAAGTGGGTCTCAGATCCATTCCTTCCCAGATCGGGGTTCTTTAGTGGCTGGGAAGTAGTCGTAAAACTTATTTGAAAGTTGAGACAGGTGATCGTGCACTAGCTGGAAGAAAGCAAACCCTGGTTTAGTCTCTTTCAGAATCTCTGCTAATATCTGAATCACATAACAAAATCAAATGTTTACTCATAACTGCCGTAATTCCACTTTGGCTCCGAATGAGGCCACTTTATCTGCCAACGTGAATACAGCTGTCATTCTCCCCTGAAGAGGCAGATTAAGTTAACTGAGCAGATTGAGTAAGCAATTTTTGTTATCCATTTTGTGACACTTAAATGGGCTTCTGGCGGTGACTGCTTTTCTAAAAGAAATATCTGGAGTAGCTCTCCTAACACGAACCCTCTGGCCAGTGGTCTTCCTATAGCAGACCATCTCCTTTCTCCATAAAGTAGAGGATATGTGTGTGACGCACTCATCTCTTCACAGAGCTTCCCAAATGGATGTGAGCAAAGGGCACCTACTTCAATGTGGTTGATGAATTTAATCACATCCTGTAGAACACTGTTGAGTGCAGGTGACATTTTTCAGGAAGCCAGCATTTTTCTGTGGATGACTCAGTGCAGAGACACATCTGGAAGCAGTGAAACCAAAAATATAGTCAAAACAGTCTATAGGTCTGTGCTTATACTGACACAAAATGACCAGTTCAGTTTTCCTGATATGTAATCATCCAAAGACTTAAGTTTAATAGGTGTTCATTGGTAACAGGAGTGCCTGTAACACATTCCCATGCACATCCTCTTGACTCACAAGTCAAGCATTGTCTTGTCGTCAACATTGGTAGACGCACTTAACCTGGATTTCGTACCAAGGATGCCTCATCAACTCTTGCCTGTGCAGTTCACAACAGGGCTGTGTTCCTGTAAAAATCTCCTGCCACCACTAGTCTCACTGCAGGCAAAGCTCAGGCTGAATGCAAGCAATGGGTAGCAGCAGGTGAAACTTCACTTGCTCACATACAGCTAGCTTCCTCTGTGTGGGCCAGAGACAGGCCTGTGGCCTGGGGTTGGGGACCGCTGTTTTAAAGAATATATATTTAAATATAAGCTATTATTTCTGATTAGAATAATACTGGTCAGGAGTCTTGGAGATGTGCATGAATTACTTGAGGATAATGTAGGAAAATAAAGTATAGGCAAATTAAAGAAACCCCCAAAAGGAAATATCAAAAATAAGCTTCTGGGGATTATAGAATTAATCCACTTCAGAATTATAAAAGGAAATATCACTTACATTATACACTTAACTAATTCCTTACATTGGAAAATTATTGAAATATTTGAGATATAAAATATTGGAGTCTGGTCTAGTAATAATGTGAAAAGTGTGACTTCATTAGAGTTTGCTGATGAAGAAGCTATTTGACTTACTCGGCTGTGCTGATCAGGCAGGTATGGGAAAACATGAAGTGGAAGAGAACAAGAAGAAAATGCATATAAAGGCATTATTGAAATATGTAAAAATATGTAAACATATGGCTCTTTTCCAAGCAAGTGCAGGAAGATCTGACCCGCCATTGCTTGTGTGTATTCAGGGACAGAACTTTCTCATCATCGATCAGTGTAAAATTTCTCTTGTCAAGAAAGGTGTAATTATTGTTGTTGTGTAACTCTTGCAGATTTCCTAAGGAAATCAAAAGCAGGGAGAACCTAGAAAATACATTTCTAATAACAGGTCCAGCTTTATCCTAATTTAGTTGATGATACTACTATTGACAGGTAGTTCCACTTCCTCCTAGATTTCACTTTAACTCCCTTCAGTAGATGGCTGAGCAGTCATAGCTGTGAACACACTGCAGCCCCTCCTTCTACTTCGATCTGCACCTCTCTGATCCTGAGTATTGGACCATGTTCTCTACTGTCATTCATGTATTTTCATGCACTGTATGATTTCTCCACACATAACCCACTCCCTTCATGCTCCTGACTGGTGTGGTAGCATGACAAGCTTTTTAGTCTGTAAACAAATTATGCCTACTGCTTTACCTCCATCAGGAACTCACTGACGCTTCTCTGATGAAAACTGTTTGGAAACAGTCCAATTGCCCATCAACTGGAGACTGGATAAAGAAGATGTGTTTTTTTTTTGTTTTGTTTTGTTTTTATAAAATGGAATACTACTCAGCCATAAAGAAAGAGCAAACAAGAGATATTTATAGATAAGTGGATGCACATTGAGGCCATACTCTTAAGTGAAATAAATAAATCACACATATGTAAATACCAAATAGCTTCTCCGGTGTGAAAAACTAAAAGTGTAAATAAGAATCATAACGTATAATTGATCTTGTGTAATAGGAAAAAAAGATCTAAAAGAGTACAGGAAGTGGGAGGGGTAGAGGAAAGGTAAAAAGGGAAAATAAAAATATATGAAAATGAAAAACATGACAACAATGTCTTTGTAAACAGGGAAGGGTGAAGGAGGTGAAGGGAGGGTAGGGGAAAGGGGAAAAATAAGAACCAAGATGAGTCGTGTAAAGGTACAAGATCCCAATGATGAATGTAACTGTATCATATACCTAAAATGTCCCCCCAATAAACTTAATAAACATTAAAAAGAAAACTGATTAGCTTGTTAAGCCTGACACCCATCTATCTTTTCATCAATCTGTGCTGTAGTTCCCTACTCTGTTCTTGCTTAAATATTCTCATACTGTTTTTCACAAATTTTCATCTAATATATTTCTTTGCACTAGTGCCACAATGTTTCTTTATGGTCTCAGTATCTATTTGGTCCCTAAAAAGAGCACATCTACCTAGATTTGCTCCATTTTAAGTTTATATTATAGCAAATTAATTTCCAAAGTTGAAAATAAAAGTAATTACATAGAGTGTTCTCTACCAAATTCTCTAGCCTCATGTACATAAAGTTCTTAAGAAGCTGAAAATTACAATGAGGTACTTATACAGCCATATGTGATAGAAGAAAGGAAGGTTCTAGAAAAGCCAAATTCAACTTCTACCTGCGCATATGTCATGTAATACTCTACTAAGTGACACTGACAGCTCTTCAACAACAGTTCCATCCAATGTTCCTAAAATGTCAATTACAAGAAAAAACTTGACTTGAAGATATATGTTGTCTTAGTTATCTTAAATACCAAAATTATACTTTTCCACCACCATAATTTTTATTAGACTCTCATTTTAGCCTAGTGAAATAGGATACAATATACCATTAATCCAAAAACATGACATTATGAAGTGATTAAATGTTGAGAAGCTGTATTAAGCTTTCTATCTAGTTTGAATTATATCTGTAAAATGATATTGTGGTAATTTAGAACCAGCAAGAAGACCTAAATATCGTAGAATAAGTAATAAATTATGGCTGAAATGGGTAATTCTGAACAATGGAGTAAAATGGAGCAATAAAATATGAATTTAATGATTGACAGAAAATCAATGAAGAATAGATTTGGCATTTGGCAGCAGGCTGAGGAATTACAAATTTTATTAGAAAGAGTACAAGTTAATTTTAATCATTTCACAGATTATGTGTACTTTATTTAATCAAATTGACTCAGCATCTATTTCACACAAAACACTGCTAGTTATTGGGCAGAAAATGAAATATTTCCTCTGCCTGCTGCGGCACAGGAATGTGTACAAATAACATACAGGTATTCTCTAAAGAAGAAGGAAGCAAAGGATCTGGGTATCCTAAAAAGGTGCCTTAAAAATTGACGTGGATGCCGGTTCTGAAATACAGGCACTAGCTTTGTGCAGTGGCAGTATCATAGCCAATGAGGTTTATCTGAGGCACAATTATTGCTAATTGAAAACTTTTCCATACTGGGGTATGAAGGAGTTGGTTTTAAATTTTAATATCCCAAGAGGGTTTCAGGTCAACCATTTTCTAAAATTTAAAACTAAAATAATTGACTTTTCTAGCACTTTACTATAACTTCATTATATATTATTAACCAGATCCAAAATTCTGTCAGCAGTAGCTTCAAATTTCACCACAACACAAAATTAATAAAAGAAACACTATCCATAAACTTAATAATGATTCAATATCTACATAAAACTTTTAAGAAAGTAAAAGAAAAAAAATAGACTTTGCAATATTCCCTTATTTTAAGAAGTCATTCATATACAAAAGGGAACGGTGAGACCATCAAATGTTACCTATTTTAGTGTTCTGGTAAGATTGTCAAAAATTATATTAAAGTTATTCAAAAAGAATAAGCAGTGTTTATGCCTTTAATTCAAGGGCACGATCAACATAAATCTTAGGCAAATTGGACTGAAAGAGTATGTGACAGTTTACCATATATTAATGTAAGAAAGGCTATTTTCCTTATATCTTCGTTTTATTCACAAAACAGGTGTTCATTTAGTGTAAATGATACGCCACAATTTTTTTGGTCGATAATGATACATTAGTCTGAAATGCTACTGATTTAAGGGTGGGGGGAGAATAGCAACAAACAAGAAAAATAAATGCCAGAATTTGGGAGTTGCATGGCAGCTTGACTTGAAGAAACAATGGTGAGTTCAGTACACAGGAGAAATATTACCTTGAAGGAAATATTTTGAATGCAGAAAAGTCAAAGCAGCGTTTTATTGCATCAATTTCAATTATTAGGGAGGTCTAGTTTGTCAGAGAAGGTCAAACTCACCCAAGTACAGGGAGATATCCACGTTATTGCTATCATTATAAATAGAGACAAAGGGAGTAATGTGCTTTTTCTAGGCCAGAAAACTTAATAAAGGTTTGTACATCAATAAACTCCAAAGTGGTCTCTGAAATGCATAGAGAGTGGTAAAGATCGTGAATCCTTTCCACCGAAGGGTGCGCTGTACTTGCATAAATGTTGAGTCTGAATTGAAGACCCAGTGAAATGTTGAAAGAGTGGTCTCTGAAATGCATAGAGAGTGGTAAAGATCGTGAATCCTTTCCCCGAAGGGTGCGCTGTACTTGCATAAATGTTGAGTCTGAATTGAAGACCCAGTGAAATGTTGAAGACTTCACAAGCTCGTACTTGTTCAAAGATAAGGAAGTTTCAGTTTTCCTGACTGAAAAGGGTGTCTGATGGGCTAAGAGCATCAGGTGATGTGTCTGTGGATTTATCTCCTAAATCCCCACAACATCTAAAAACACCATGACAGTGCTGTTCTAAACAGTGCCCTGTGGATATCTTTTAGCTCTTTAGAAAGCAGAGTTGTGGGTGTGGAGCCTGAGGAACTTGTGAGTTCTCTGGTCAGCTAACACCTAAGACAGTGTTAGGCTGCCCATGTATGTGCTGGTCAGGACTGCATAGCACTTTCCTACCAGGCAGGATAGGTAAGAGCTCAACGGAAATGCTTCAGGGCCCCTACAGGCTAAAGCTGGCCTTGTTTACATTTGAATGAATCCGTTCTGTACCTATTTAAAACTGGAAAGCACAGAGAAAATAAAATAAGAAAATATAATTTCTTAGTATGTGTACCAACAAAAACAGACTGCTGCAATAAAAAACAAGAGCAAAATTCCATTCAGATAAAGACAGGAGGCAAAGAAAGTTTTCTGCCTAAATTGAAAATAACTTGTTCTGAATGCTAAGTCTGGAAGGCACCAGGGGCAATAACACAACCTTGAGTAAAATCAGCCAATATTGAAATCCTATCTAAAAACTCTGAAACATAAAGTCAACAATCCTTGGTCTGGTCCATTATGCATGGCAGTTCCTGAGAGAAAATGGTAATCCTCTATTTCACTGGCCAAAATAACCCAGTGTGGGGAACTCGTCAGTTTGAAACCTTCCCTCACCTCCTCCTCCAGCAGCCAAATAAATATATCCAAAAGGCAAAGACGGGCCATGTAGAACTGAGTGTCCTGCAGCCCCTTGGCCCCCAGACCACCCTCTAGATCTGTGTACCACTGTGGCAGGATGTCTGACTTCAGTGCTTCCACTCTGAGACCCACAGGAAAGTCAAAGGCAGCAGGTGTGGAGTAAGAGCAGCTACCTGGATGCCCCCTCCCCAGACAGGGTGGGATGAATAAGCCACTGCCCCAGCAGAGGATTCATTGTGAACACAGCCATGAATGTTATTAGCTGGCTGTTCTGGCCAGAATCAGCTAGATCACCTCATTTGCAGCTCTCAAAATATTCCCAAACAAGCCTGTTTGAACTTATACATTACTAGGAAACCAAAAGCACTGTTTAGCACTTTTCATCTGGAACTTTCCCAGTGTGGTCTATGCCACATCTCAAGACATTCTCTCCCTCTCTCTCTCTCTCTCTCTCTCTCTCTCTCTCTTTCTCCCCTCCCCCCCAAAAAAAACTCAAGACATTCTCTCCCTCTCTCTCTCTCTCTCTCTCTCTCTTTCTCCCCTCCCCCCCATTTCCCCCTCGCCCCATCTCTCTGTCTCTCTCCCTGTCTCTCCCTGTCTCTCTGTCTCTGTGTTTATCCCATACATATACTACCCACCCCTAAATCTGAAAGACCTACAAAATTCTGTGCAAATGATATTGCAATGTATAATCTTTTAACTCCATATGGTATGTCTCTATAGTATGTGCAGTGGTTTGCTCCCTTAGCCTGCCTTGACTGTTGCCTACTTACGAAATCTTTGATGATAAGTCTAACACCCTTTAGTGGTCTTTCTGAGTTTCTGAAGATGATTGTCTGCAAAGCCAGTGTTGGGTTCACGCAAACATTTGTATCAGTGCTACATTTCTTCTTCTGTGTCTTTAGGGAATCACAAAAATCATACAGCCTTGGATCTGTTTGCATATCTCAAAACAAGAACAGATAAATCATTTCAGACAAATGTAAATATATTCTAAAAAGATGTGCAAATAAGCCATTCCATCCCAAGTAACTATGACCTCATATAATAGAAACTTAATAAATATTGAATGATGTACTGAATCCGTTCGTGACCAACAAACTTCAGCAGCAGGAAATGTTTCTTTATTGCTACTCCAGGTCCTTCCAATTTTATTTTCTTTTATTATGATCTCAGTAAATATAGAGAATACCTATCCATCAATCTTTGTACTATTGTATATCTGCTTCTTACACAAAGACTCTTATTAAATTTCCTTCATGATCTTCAAACCCACTTAGCCTTCTCCTTTGCAGGCTAAATAATTCACCTCTGTCTCTCTCTCTCTCTCTCTCTCTCTCTCTCTCTCTCTCTCTCTCTCTCTCTCTCTCTCTCTCTCCCGCCGCACGTGT